GGTGTTCGCATGCGGTTCCCCCACCCAGGGCAGCGTTTCGTAGCCCCATAGGGAGCTCCACCGAAGGCCCCAGTGGGGGTGTTCGCATGCGGTTCCCCCACCCAGGGCAGCGTTTCGTGGCCCCATAGGGAGCTCCACCGAAGGCCCCAGTGGGGGTGTTCGCATGCGGTTCCCCCACCCAGGGCAGCGTTTCGTAGCCCCATAGGGAGCTCCACCGAAGGCCCCAGTGGGGGTGTTCGCATGCGGTTCCCCCACCCAGGGCAGCGTTTCGTGGCCCCATAGGGAGCTCCACCGAAGGCCCCAGTGGGGGTGTTCGCATGCGGTTCCCCCACCCAGGGCAGCGTTTCGTAGCCCCATAGGGAGCTCCACCGAAGGCCCCAGTGGGGGTGTTCGCATGCGGTTCCCCCACCCAGGGCAGCGTTTCGTGGCCCCATAGGGAGCTCCACCGAAGGCCCCAGTGGGGGTGTTCGCATGCGGTTCCCCCACCCAGGGCAGCGTTTCGTAGCCCCATAGGGAGCTCCACCGAAGGCCCCAGTGGGGGTGTTCGCATGCGGTTCCCCCACCCAGGGCAGCGTTTCGTAGCCCCATAGGGAGCTCCACCGAAGGCCCCAGTGGGGGTGTTCGCATGCGGTTCCCCCACCCAGGGCAGCGTTTCGTGGCCCCATAGGGAGCTCCACCGAAGGCCCCAGTGGGGGTGTTCGCATGCGGTTCCCCCACCCAGGGCAGCGTTTCGTAGCCCCATAGGGAGCTCCACCGAAGGCCCCAGTGGGGGTGTTCGCATGCGGTTCCCCCACCCAGGGCAGCGTTTCGTGGCCCCATAGGGAGCTCCACCGAAGGCCCCAGTGGGGGTGTTCGCATGCGGTTCCCCCACCCAGGGCAGCGTTTCGTAGCCCCATAGGGAGCTCCACCGAAGGCCCCAGTGGGGGTGTTCGCATGCGGTTCCCCCACCCAGGGCAGCGTTTCGTGGCCCCATAGGGAGCTCCACCGAAGGCCCCAGTGGGGGTGTTCGCATGCGGTTCCCCCACCCAGGGCAGCGTTTCGTGGCCCCATAGGGAGCTCCACCGAAGGCCCCAGTGGGGGTGTTCGCATGCGGTTCCCCCACCCAGGGCAGCGTTTCGTAGCCCCATAGGGAGCTCCACCGAAGGCCCCAGTGGCTGTTCGCATGCGGTTCCCCCACCCAGGGCAGCGTTTCGTGGCCCCATGGGGAGCTCCACCGAAAGCCCCCGTGGCGCAGTTCGCATGCGCTTCCCCCACCCAGGGCAGCGTTTCGTGGCACCATAGGGAGCTCCACCGAAGGCCCCAGTGGCGCAGTTCGCATGCGGTTCCCCCACCCAGGGCAGCGTATCGTAGCCCCATAGGGAGCTCCACCGAAGGCCCGCCCCGGTGGTGCAGTCCGCATGCGGTTCCCCCATCCAAGGCAGCGCTTCGTGGCCCCATATGGAGCCCCACCGAAAGCGGCACCCACAACGCGTTACCAACAATTGCTGATGGTTGGGTCTTTCGCCAGGATAATTTTAATGACCTTTCTGCCGATTCCAGAAGAGTTCCACTTTCCAGAAAGATCCGCATTACAACTCTGTACCCCGATGGAGACCTAGAGGATCCCTACGGAATGCTTTCGGATCCCTTCGGGTCCCTATGGAATCCGATCGGATCGTTATGGAAGCCTATGAGATCTCTATGAGTTCCGGTGCGATTTTTATGGAAACCGATGGGATCCCTATGGCATCCTATAGGATCTCTTCGGAATCCGACGTCAGTGGAATTCCGATTACAATAGGGTTCTGATTACAAAAGGACTCCGATTACACTCGAATTCCGATTACAATCGGACTCCGATTACACGAGGATTCCGATGACAATAGGATCCCACCAAAACCTAAATCCAAACACAAACCTCACAAACCATAAGTCAGGTGTGACCCAAGTAGTAGTAGTAGTAGTAGTAGTAGTAGTAGTCGTAGTAGTCGTAGTAGTCGTAGTAGAAGTAGTAGTAGTAGTAGTAGTAGTAATGATAGTGGTAGTAGTAGTAGTAGTAGTAGTAGTAGAAGTAGTAGTAGTAGTAGTAGTAGTAGTAGTAGTCGCAGCAGTAGTAGTAGTAGTAGTAGTAGTAGTAGTAGTAGTAGTAGTAGTAGTAGTAGTAGTAGTAGTAGTAGTAGTAGTAGTAGTAGTAGTAGTAGTAGTAGTAGTAACAGTAGTAATAATAATAGTGGTAGTGCTACTATGAATAATAGTCGTAGACATGCTGGTAGTAGTAGTAGTGGTCGTAGTCGTAGCCGTGGTAGTAGTAATAGTAATAGTATTGGTCGTCGTAGTAGTCGTCGTCGTAGCAATAGTAATCGTAGTAGTAGTCGTAGTAGTAGTAGCAGTCGTATTTGTAGCACTACTAGTAACAGTAGTAATAGTAGTAGGAGTCATTGCAGAAATACTTGTAAGTAGTAGTAGTAGTAGTAGTAGTAGTAGTAGTAGCCGCCGTCGTTTTAATATGAGTGGTTGTTGAAAAAGTAGCAGCAGCAACAGTAGTAATAGCAGTCGTAGTAGTAGAAGTAGTAGTAGTGGTAGTATGATTAGTAGTGGTAGTAGTATTAGTCGTAGTCGTAGTAGGAGTAGTAGTAGTAGTAGTAGTTGTAGAGGTAATCGTAGTCGTATTATTAATAATTGTAGAAGTAGTCGTAGAAGAATTATGTTTAGTGCTAGTAGTAGTAGTAGTCGTAGTAATCGTCGGGGGCGTAGTAGTAGTAGTAGTAGTAGTAGTAGTAGTAGTAGCCGTCGTCGTAGTAGTAGTAGTAGTAGTAGTAGAAGTAGTAGTAGTAGTAGTAGCAGCAGTGGTGGTAGTAGTGGTAGTAGTGGTAGTAGTGGTAGTAGTAGTAGTAGTAGTAGCAGTAGTAGTAGTAGTAGTAGTAGGGAGAGCAGAAGTGGTAGTAGCAGGCGGAGCGACAGCAACAGTAGTAGCAACAGTGCATAACATGAAACGCATACATTTACATATAACTACCAGGGCACATACGCCACATATAGAGCACAACTATGATACACGCAAGCCATATGCAAACAACATCCGAAACACTGGGACCCATATACGACACGTATACCGAATGCGTACACGTCGTCGACAGTACACAGACGAACCGCCTACGATATACGCAATGCACACGCGCCGTGCACGGAACATATACGAAACACATGCGGCACACATACGAATCAACTACGACAACTAGACAATACGTACACGTAATGTTTACAACCCGTATACCACACGAAAACAAAGCAACACACCAAAAACATATACGCACCGCATGCGGCACATTGGCGAAGCGTATGCGAACAACTGCGCGAAACGTTGACGAAACACGTAGGAAGCGTGCATGACACGTACACGGCACGTATTCGAGTTATGCACGGTCGGAGGACGCTCTTAGACGGCCCCAGGAGAAACGCTAGCGGGCGGAAGAGGCCCCCCCAGCAGGATCCAAGACGGCCGCAGAGGGCCCCTCGATGGCCCAAGTTGGCCCCACGAGACCCCCCAGATGGCCAAGAGGGTCCCACGTCAGCTCAAGAGACCCCAAAGCCGGCCCTAGAGGGCCCCAACACGGCCCCAAGGGACGCCCCAAACTGCCCCACAGGAGTCCAAGGCAGCGCAAAGACGGCCCAAAAAAGGCCCACTATAAAGCTCCTGAACCAGTAGGGACGAAAAGGCAACATACGTTACAGCGTTCCTCGGTTTCCTCTTTCTCCTCCTCCTCCTACTCCTTATCAAGATCCGCATCAGCATCAGCATCAACATCGTCATCAACATCGTCCTCACCATCATCGCACTCGTCGCCGTTATCGTTATTGTCATCAACAGCATCATCATCGCCATCACCATTATCACCAGCACCATAATCCTCGTCAGATTCAACATATTCGTCATCATCATCAGCAGCACCATCAACAATGTCGTCAGCATCACCATCATCATCAGCAGCGACATCATCACCATCATCATCATCATCATCATCATCGTCGTCGTCGTCGTCGCCATCATCATCAACATCATCGTAATCATCAAAGCATCATCACCATCATCATCGTCATCACTATCATCATCACCACCACCACCATCGTCACCACCATCATCATACACAGCATCATCATCGCCATCGCCATCATCATCACCATTATCATCATCATCATCAACATCATCCTCATCATCAACGTCATCATCATCACAATCATATGTTTCGCCATCATCATCAACACCATCATCATCACCATCACCATCACCGTCACCATCACCGCCACCATCACCATCACCATCGTCATCGTCGTCATCGTCATCATCACTATCATGATCATCGTCATCATCGTCGTCATCGTCATCATCGTCATCGTCATCGTCATCGTTATCGTCATCCGCATCCTCATCCTCATCCCCACCACCATCCTTCTCCTCCTCCTCCTCCTCGGGGGGCAGCACGCGCGCTCGCGAGACCACCTCGGCGGCAGCGACCGACGACCGACGACCGACGACCGACGATCGACGGCGATGTAGACGACGACGACAACGACGACGACGACGACTACGCCTGAAGATAGACGACGACGACAAATGGCGACGACGATAGACGCCCTGCATCATCCACCTCCCGTCCCCTCCCTCGTCCAGCCACTCACTCCTCATTCATCTCGCTCCTCATCCCACACGCTCCTCCTCCTCCTCCTCCTCCTTCTCCTCCTCCTCCTCCTTATCGGGCAATGGCAGAACTGGGTTTAGTGGGACCTGGTTTAAAAATGTGTCCTGGGGGACGCCCCCCCCCGCCCCCTTCCACTAAACGGAACTGCCGTCACCCGAAAAACACCTGCTACGGCAGACCTGGTTTAGTGATTCGGGCCAATTTAGGGACTCCGGGGCCCCACTACTAATCAGGTCCTCTTGCCTGGGGTCCTGGCTTTACCCGACCTGAGCCTCCTCCTCCCGCCGCCGAGGCGCTGGTGCACCATTGCCTCCCCAGTGCCGCCTCGCAGGTGTCCGCGGGCCGGCGCACTGCAGCCGCTGCTCTCTTGCGCCTCCTCGCCTCGTACCTCTGCTGGCGCCTCCTGGCCGTCCGCGCCCCAGTGCCGGCCGCCAGGCTCCCAGCGGGCCCCCGCCCGCCTCGACGCTCGAGGCCTCCAGGGACTCCAGGCTGCCCAGGTCCCACTGCCGGTAGCAAGACTGGGCGGGGCACAGCGGGAGCGCCTTGGGAGGGGCCCGAGGGGAAGTTCCCCAGACATGCTCGCGTCGTGGCAAGAATCAGAACAGGAGGCTGTGTGCCGTTTTCGGCCTCTGGGGGCCCTCACTGGGCCCCGGGCCCCAGGACCGTCCAAAAACGACTCAGGATGAAAAGCTGGTGCAGGGGAAAGGGTTGGGGGTCTGGTGACACGGCCCGTCCCAACCAAGAAGCTCGATGTGTGTGTGTGTGTGTGTGTGCATGCGTGCGTGCGTGCGTGCGTGCGTGCGTGCGTGCAGGTTTGTGGTTGTGTGTGTGTGTGTAAGTGTAAGTGTAAGTGTAAGTGTAAGTGTAAGTGTAAGTGTAAGAGTAAGAGTAAGTGTAATTGTAAGTGTAAGTGTAAGTGTAAGTGACAGTGACAGTGTAAGTGTAAGTGTATGTGTATGTGTAGTGTGTCCTGCCGCTGCTGGTAGAACACCAAGACGGGGTTGAGTTTCCATCCCGTCCCCCCCCCTCGAAAACCGAGGGGATCGCTGGGATTTCCCCCCCCCAGGTCAATCATGAAAAGGGGGGAGGTCACTACCGGTTCGATCCCCCCCCTCCCCGCCGACAAACGACTCCCCCTTCTTCCCCACTCCAGACAGTGGGACGGCAGCGGAGACGGTGAGGAAAGTGGTGGTGGGGACAGTGGTGGGGACAGTGGGACAAAGGTGGGGACAGCGGGGACAACGGGGCGAGTGGAACCGTGGTGGGGACAGTGGGGATAGTGCGACAGTGGTGGGGGCACTGGTGGGGACAGTGCTGGGAACACTGGGGACAGTGGTGGGGACAGAGGGATGGGGAAGGTGGTGGTGGGGACAGTGGTGAGGGGACAGTGGGACAGTGGTGGGGACGGGGACAGTGGGACAGTGGTGGGGACGGTGGTGGTGAGGAGGTGAGGACGGTGGTGGGACAGTGGGACAATGGTACAGTAGGGACAGCGGTGGGGACAGTGGGGACAAGGGGACAGTGGTGGGGACGGTGGTGGGAACAGTGGGACAGCACTGTGGGACAGCGGTGGGATCAGTGGGAACAGTGGGACGGACAGTGGGGACAGTGGTGGGGACAGCGGGGACAGTGGGGGAGTGGGACCGTGGTGCGGACAGTGGTGGGGACAGTTGGGACAATGCGACAAGTGGTGGGGGCACTGGTGGGGACAGTGGGGGCTGGTACAGTGGTGGTGACAGTGGTGGGGACGGACGGCGAGGAGACAGAGGGACAGTGGTGGGGACAATGGGACAGTGGTGGGGACGGTGGTGGGGACGGTGGTGGTGGGGACAGTGGCGAGGGCGGTCGTAAGACAACAGGACAGTGGTGCAGTGGGGACAGTGGTGGGGACAGTGGGACAATGGTGGGAGCTGTGGGGACAGTGACAGCACAGTGGGACAGTCGTGGGGACAGTGGGACAGTGGGACGGACAATGTGGACAATGGGGGGGTGGGACCGTGGTGGGGACAGTGGTGGGGACATTGGCGACAGTGCGACAGTGGTGGGGGCTCTGGTGGGGACAGTGGGACATTGGTGGGAACAGTGGGACAGTGCTGGGGACAGCGGGGACAGTAGTGTGGACGGTGGTGGTGGGAACAATGGTGATGGCGGTGGTGAGGACGGTGGTGGGGACGCGGGAGTCGTTTGCCGGCGGCGAGTATGGGGGGTTCAAGCCAGTAGTGGCCCGCTCGATTTTCTGGGGGGGGGGTCGAACCGGTGGCGACCCCTCTCGGTTTTCCGGAGGGGGAGGCGGGGGGAGTGGGAATGGGGCAGAAGGGCGTTGCCGGGGGAGGGGGGGGGGGGATGGGTTAGAGCAGGGGGGGGGATTTTCGGAAGCGGGGGGGGGACCTTGGGTTCCGGAGGAAGAGGGGAATCATTTTCCACAGCAAAGCGGCTGTGGATCACGCTCTCTCGTATGTGTATATGTGTATGTGTATGTGTATCTGTATCTGTGTACGTGTATGTGTAGCTATATGTATGTGTGTGTGGTGTGTGTGTGTGTGTGTGTGTCCGAAGCCCTTGTGGCTCAAGCCTCCTCTGGCTCATGCCTTTTGGCTCAAGCCGTCTCGGCTCGAACATCCCCCGTCCAGTTGCGCGCCTGGCTTGGGCCGTCCTCGTGATGGTGTTCCCCGCGGCACGGCGGCGGCGGCAGCGCCGAGCTGCCGCCGCCGCTGGCGTCGCGTGCGCCGCGTGCGCCGCGTGCGCCGCGTCTGCCGCGGGCGCGCCGCGGGCGCGCCTTGCGCCGCTGGGGCTGCGGGGCCGGCGGGCGCCGCTGATGCTGCTGGTGCCGCCGGTGCCGCGGGCACCAAGGGGCGCTGCGGGCGCCGCGAGCGTAGTGCACGCCATTGGCGCCGCTTGCGCCGCCGGCGCGCCCTGCGCTGCTGCGTCTGGCGCCGCCGTAAAGCCTCATGCCGCCGGCGCCCGCGCCTCGGCCCTCGCCGCTGCTGCGGCGACCCCTGCGCATGCCGCCCGCGAGCCCCTTGCCGCGGCGCCTGGCGCCGCGGCGCTTGGAAGCCAGCGCCCGCGCCGCAGGCCGCGCGGCCGCCGCGGCAGCCTCTGCCGCTGCTGCTGGCTCCGCCGCGGGCCCCGCTGCCGCTGCGGCCGCCTCCTCCAAGGCCCATGGCCGCGGCGGCCTGGGCGGTTGCTGCGGCCGCGCTGTCGGCCGCGGTGGCCTGCGGTGCCTGGCGGGCGACCCCGCCGGGCCTCGTGGCGGCGTCCTCCAGCGTGGGCAGGACGACGACTTTGAGTTCGGACGATGTCTCAGTCGAAGCTGGCCAGATCACCACTGACCACGGCATCTGTGAGCCTGGGGCAACCAGGAAGTTTCAGATGATGACTATTGGCCAGACCACCTCAGGTCAATGCGCATCGGATTTAAGAGTCGCAAGCATGTCTCAGGCAAAACGTTCCCTGGCCAGCCAAGCTGGGTGCTTCCAAGCCAGCATCCTTGCCAGCGCAGTGCGAATCACCGACTTCAGACTCCCCACCCTCACTTCGGGGACCACGGACCGACGTCAGCATCCTTCCCGGCACAGCCGGGGACACGAACAGCCTCTGCGCCAGCGCAGCCAGGAGTGCCGGCGCCAGCATCCTCGCCAGCACAGCCGATAGCACCGACGCCAACATCCTCGTCAACACATCCTGGATCACCGACGCCAGCATCCTCACAAGCACAGTTGGGAACACCGACGCCAGCCCAGAGCACGGCCCAGAGACCTGGAGCCGGCGAAGGGTCTCGGCCTTCGCCGCCAAAGCGGGCTGGAGGACGGGCTCCTGGGTGAGGATGGCGCTTCCCCTGCCGCCGCGGCGGGACCCGCCTCGAAATCCTTGCTTGGGCGCGCCCTCGGAAAGGCCGATTCGGCTTGTGCCTCCCTGGCTCTTGTGACACGCGAACAATTCGACCATCCGATGATTTGACTTGTAGCCGCCCTGGCGCTGACGGTATGCACGCGCCTCAACCTATTGATGCCGCGGCTTCTTGCCGCCCAAATAATCAATGCTGCCATGCACCACGTGTCGCATCCAGCAGCTGTGCCGGATTTTCGCCGCCCTGGCGTTGTTGACGTGCTCCAGCCTCCATCCACCGATGCTCCGGCGTTCCGCCGCCCTGCTCACCCAGGAGACGGGCCCCCCCAGCGCGGAGGCCCCCGAGCCAGACAGCGCGGACGGAGAAGCGCCCGGTGCTCTCCAGCCCCTTTTGCCCCGCGACCCTGTGAGTAAGTCGGGCTTGTCCCACAGGAGGATTTTCGACGAAAAATGAAAAATACCCCAAAATATAATCAAAACATAATCCACAAATGGTATGGGGACTATTTTTTGAAGTATTGATTGACCTTTTTTGAATCGAAAATCCCCCTGTAGGGGGACACGCCCGACTTAACCCTGTGAGCGACGAGGGCAGGGTCGACTCGGGCGGGCTGGGGGTGGAGCCGCACGACGTCGGCGGCACGGTCGATTGTGTCGTCGGGCGGGTGGGCGGGGTGCGGGCGGAAGGGGTGCGCCTCCCCCGTCGCCGCGCCTGCTCTCGCCTCGACGTCCGGGCCCTCGGCGCCCCGGCCTCCCACGGGTCACTCGTCGCCCGTGCGGGGCGCCCGCGATGCCTCTGGCGGCCGCGGCGGTGCCCGACCCGACCCCAGACCCCCGACGTCATGATTTTTTCATGACGTTGATCCGAGGAGGGAGGAGGAGGGAGGAGGAGGAGGAGGAGGAGCAGGAGGAGGAGGAGAAGGAGGAGGAGGAGGAGGAAGAGGAGGAAGCGTGATCGCTTCCTCACTCGAGGGGGTCTGGGCCCTCTGCCGTCAGCCCTCGGCCCGTGCCCCCGCCCGACGCCCCGCCGCGCGCAGGTCACGCTTCGGCTCCTCGCCGCCCCGGAGGTGGTGCCACGCTCGCGCCTCCCGCTCCCGGGGTTTCGCCGGGCTCCCGCCCTGGCACCAGGTCGGGCGTGTCCTCCCAGAGGCGGATTTGGACGAAAAATAAAACATAGTGACAAACATGCTCGTAACATTGCCTTGACACCGGTAGCCCAGTGGGTCTGTCGGGGGCGGCCAAGAGGGGGGTATCCAAGAGGGGGGGAGCAAATCATGACCAGCGGCACGTGCGCGGCCCAGGGGATGGGGGATCAGGGACGCAATGAAATAAAAAGATGCGGCATGAAATCTGAGGAAATATCATGGCCCACGCCATGATGTCCACCCTCCCTGGTCATCACCCCCATCTTTCACTGCACCGACCTTGCAGACGTGCTGCAGCGGATTTTTGTGTGGACTTATGTCAACGCTTAACCCCGAAACGGCGAGTGAAAAACGAAGTGAATTTCGCGTGGATTTGATTTAGTCTTCACTACTGGCCAAAACAAATCCGCACGCAGTCAACCTCGAGATCCGGTACGAAATTCTCCAGGACTCTCTGGGCCCATCCTACCGTTTTCCGAACGAACTCCGCTGTGCGATGTTGGCGACATGACTCGTTGCCGCCCCCGAGTCTGCATGCGACCCTCACGAGA